TTACAGACACATAGCAACGAGAAAAAAAGGTTCTACTCGAAGTATATAAATGAAAAACGACAACATTTCCTAACAATCAATTATCATTAGAAAAGAATTATCGTCTCTGAGAGAATTTAAACATTATATATGTTGCCATCAGCAAAGTGAAAGTAAAGAAGATATGTGAGTTCCACATTTCAGCCCCAAAGGGGCTGCGCTAACAAGCTTTTTCATACATATTCATATGAATTCATTTTAGATCGACGTAACTACATAGTAAACAACACGATTCGATTGATTTTCTTCTTACATAAATGGCAACAGGAAATAACTCAAATAGATGTTCAGTCTGCAATAAAGCGGCAGGCGTCCGGTTTGTGTTGGATGTAATAAATACTTTTGTAAGAGGGATTTACAAGACCATGATAGACAACTAGCAATTAAATTTGATGATGAAGTAGTTAAATCTCATGATGAACTGCTAGATCAAGTACAAAAGTTAGAAGGATCAAATTATTTGTCATCGGATCTTTTCTCTCAAATTGAGCAATGGAAAAAAACAGCGATCGAAAAAATTGAAAGAGCAGCAGAAAAGGCACATCATGAACTTACCAAATTAATCGATAAAAAACGAACAGAAATAACAAAACAACTTCAATCAATTACAAAAGATATTCGTTTAGTTCGAGAAGAAGAAAATTTTCTTGAAAATGATATAGATCAACTTAAACAAGTAATCAATAAAATAAAACAACAACTTGGAAAACTCATTCAAAAAGATAAAACTCAAACCATCATTATTGAAAATAATCAAATCGACTGGAATCGTCTTATCTATATTCGTGAAATCGAAGATGAATGGAGTATTGAAGAACAACGAATAATTCGAGAAAAACAAAGCAAGTGTGAGTGTTTTCAAACTAAATTCTAAAAGGAAAGAAAACTTGAGACGATCTATTTATAGCCATCCACATGGACTCAAACTCACTATCTAGTCTAATTTCGAAATTTCGCTGTTTTTTTTCAATATCTATTACTAAATGCAGTCCTGGATAGAAAGAATGTTGAAGCATTTATTAGCTACGATGATTCTAAATCTTTGTTCCACACTCTGATTGTTTTTACCAACATGCAATTCGAATATTCGTGATTATTGTTATTACATCTACTTCCGTTAATTATACTCTTTCTTAGAAGTTACATATGAATGTTGTGAGATGATTTGTCATTGCCTTTGACAATTATTAATTCATAGTTCCGTCTGTATGTGTTGATGTGTCTGTACACTCTAAAAAAAAAAAGTACTCTCGGAAACCTATAGAGGGTTTCCGGGTTTGTTCCTATATGAAACCCTTTATAGGTTTCCGAGAAAGGGTTTCCGAGCTCTCGAAAACGTTCCAAAGCAATCAA